TCAAGCCCATACACATATGATCCACTGATTATGGAACTATTTCCTGCTGTGCTGTACCTGGTTTCTTTCTCATACTGTTCCTGGAAGCTACCACTTGATCACCAGCATTGGGAGATAACCTGAAGCCTATCTACAGAGGCATGGTATCTTGTATCCTCTAACAAAAGCAAACAAACTCTTTGAAAGAATTATTTTGGCAAAACTAGGACTGTATATTCTCATAGTTCAGTGTATTTGTCTACTAGCCCATGAGGGTTGTGTGGGAAATACCAGGGTGAAAGCAGAACTGAGGTTCTGCTCTAGCTCATCTCACAGGAAGCAACTTCTTCCCTTTGTACACAGATGTAGTTGGTTTGAATACTACTTTGCTATTTACAACCTACATGACTTGGACAAGTTCTTTGTACTTCAGTTTATTTTGTATAAATAAGAATAATATGAAAATATCTCACGGGTCCATCTTTCTTGCCTCTCCTCTGGTATTACTCTGCAGCAAAACTGATGTCTGGAACCTCAGTCTTTTCTAGCTGTCTTTATCTGTTAGATTCACAGCCACTTCAATCTTTTGATAACTTGCTCTGATGAACAAATCCTTTATAAGAACAGGTCCTCAGGCCTCACTCTTACCTACTCAGTGCCTGTAAATGACTGAGACAATGACTACCCTTCTATACATTTTTTTCCTTGAGTACTATGTACTTCTGTAGCCAGAGATGAGCTCTATACTCTTAACAATTTAGATAAATTTAAATCAATTCTATTCAAAACTGAGAGCAAAGGATGTGGACTCTGACCTAGATGCAAGACAAAACAAACAAAAACCCAAACAAACCAAACAACAATAAAACCCAAACTGCATTCCAGCAACCTGGGTCACCACCTAGGGCCAGAGTCTGAACCTGTATGACACACTGAAAACCCCCTTTCTTGTAGAGACCAGTTTTAATTAGATCCATGGGTAGGTCAATGCCCATAGAATTCTGATCCCTATTGTTTTTTGGTTGAAACCTTAAGTCCCTTCCATGCTCTCATCCCAATTTCTTTCCATCTTTTGCCATCTCCTGCTTCCCCCAACCTCTCCACTGTTGCCTCCTGATCACCTCCTTGCTTTCTAGAGTGACCAATTCATGGTAAATGAACTCTTCATGCCCTAATCTTTTCTTAACTGAATACGATTTAGTTAGGACTGTCTCCTTGAGGTCCTTTCATCCTCAGAGAGTGGGATGCCATTTTTCTCCTTAGTTCAACAGGTGAGGATGTACAATCCTCCTGAAAGAGTACAACATATAGAGTCTGTGTCACTTGAAAAAAGTGTTCGTTATCTTTCTCTCTCAACTGCTTCTTCTAATTAGCTCCATATATATCTATGGGACTCTGCAGTACAGAGTTAATATTTGATTCAATCCTAGTTATCTTTCTTATGTAGACTCAGCTTTTACCACTCCATTTGCCCATGTAAAAATCAAGCCAAATTAATTTACTTATAGTTCCTCAAACACATCAAGCAGTCTACTGTCTCCATGCATGCTGTTCCTTACTAACTCCCTTTTAAGAACATCTCCAACAAGGAGGAAGAAACTTTTTCCCTTTTAGCCAATTTAAATGCCAGTTCTCTGTAAGGAGCCATTTACTTCTTTCCAAGATTACTCATTGCCCATCTTGGTCTAAGTGGTTCTCCTTTTTCTCCTCTGACAGAAAGCTCTGAGAGGACACAAATGGTGTCATTTTGAAACCAGTTAGACTCTAGGCTCTTCCCTGCTACACATACCACATCTTCCATTGAGTGGCTAGCACAACTCTTGAGTCTTTCGAGGTGCTTTTAAAAGGAACAGTATCCATACCATTTTCAAGCTAGAAGGAAACTTATATATCATTACATCCTATTCACATAGTACAGAAGAGCCTAAAGACACAGTGGCTTACAGTGCCCCAGGAAGTTAGTGGCGTAACTGTCGCAGTTTGTCCTACAGCACAACTTGAAAGAGCTTGATATCTAATCTCCAAGACCACAAATAACCACACTGGTAAAACTATTAAATGAGAAGTAGAAAGTCTGAAGCAGAGGGAAGGAATCACATCTTTAGGTTGAGGTGGGATGTGAGTAGGATGGTAGCCAGAATTGTGTACAATTATTCTCAATCTTTTTGGTGTCAAGACCCTTTTACACTCTGAGAGCTTTTTTTTTGTTATTGACATATTTGTACTAGAAATAAACTTAACATAAGAAACCACTATACATTATCAAATTTTTATGAAAATAACTATTTTCCAAAACAAATTAGAGAGAACAGTGATATTTGTTTTGCATTTCTGCCAATCTCTTTAACCTCTAGCTTAATAGAAGACAGCTAGATCCATTCTCTTATGATAGGTTGTTTTGGTTGAAGCCTTAAATAAAAATGTGGCCTAATACAGACATGTAGTTGGAAAAAAGAAGTATTTTAATAGTTTTTTCAGATAATCATGGCTATTCTTCAACACTATATCAAAACTTGACAAGTGCTATTTCCTTAAAAGTTAGCTCCAATGTGGAAACTAAAATCATATCAAATGAACTTTGAGTACTGTGTTCCATTAAACTCCGCTGGTCTAACTTGCAAATAAATGCTTTTTTTTTTTTGGTGTGGGACTGGAATTTGAACTCAGACCTTCGCACTTTCAAAGCAGGTCCTCTACCACTTGGACCACACCTCCAGTCCATTTTACTCTGATTATTTTGGAGATGAGGAGTCTCATGCACTATGTGCCTGGGCTGGCCTCAAACCTCCCAAATAGGATTATAGGCATGAGCCACCAGCATGCTTTTGTTATATCAATGTACTGGTCATTTGGCAGTATTAGTGCTTAATTATATAGATCTTCCAAATATTGTTCCTTTTATCATAGAGCACCAGAAAAAAAAATCACTTGTTAATGTCATTACTAGTCTCATTAGGAAAGAATTTGAGTATTAAGGAAGCTGTCATGCTCACTGCAGTAGATACAAATTTTCCAAAATTTTAATTTTGGCTTAAATACTGTCATTTACTTTCCTACTGGTGAATCACTTTATTAATTTTCTGAATTCCAATAGTTTATCTGCCAGTTGTTTTTTCAAGCAAAAATGGATTCTATGAGAAAAGCAATTTGTTCAGCTCACAACTCAGATGTACAGTGCTTTATGTATACTTCCTATTTAAGTCACACAGAATATTAAAAATGTTTTTGAAGACAGGTTAATAACATTAATAATTTTTACTGCCTTTATTAAGAACATTCCTAAGTAAAATTGACTTTTTTTTTGAAATTGCAAGTGCATAGTATCATTACTTCAAATGGTGCTAAGAAGGTACCAGAAATTTTAACTACAATTTACATCACTGATGCAAATGTTCACACAGAGAAAAAGGAAACTAATGTGTGAGCACTAGGAAAATAGATTTGGCTTTGCTGAACCTCCGAAAGGCTCTTGGGGACTAGTTTGAAAGTAGATTTCACTTTGAGAAACTGTGGTGTACAAGATAATGATTTAGAAAAGTGAGTTGTATTTGGATAGAACATGAGGGAAGGCAGGAAACTGTGAGGCATACCTGAAGAACACTGCACAGGTGGTTTGGCTGAAGGGGGAAACCAGAGCCAGATGAAGCCGAAAAGATATTGTGAAAGGCTGGAAATGCCTTCATGACAGCCCTCTTATATCAGCAAGGAAGACGTGGGCCAGGGGGAGCTTTTTTTTTTTTAAAAAAAAGAAAATTTGTATCCTCAACTTATATAAAATTAAGGTGGCTATTGTTTACATTTGTTAGATATAAAAAAACAATAGCACTGCTGTTGTAAGGAATGAGTAAAACAAACTTGGTTAAATGATCTGTTATAAAGGCAAACGAAGCCCAAGGAGTCAAGTAACTTTCTAAAGAAAATGAATCTCAACTCTGACTCTGTAACACTTCATTTTGTCACTCATTATTTCCAGGCATTTGAAGAATGTAGTTATCGTTCACGTGTGTATCTATACATCCTATGCAATCTTTTATAACGGCATAGAATATGTCACAAACCCAAAGAAATATGTATGATGTGAAGCCTCTAAAGAGAATGCATATTTTGAATTCTGTCTTTGCTTCAGGAACTATTTTAGACAACAGATATAGCTGATTACTGGGAGCAGTATGTTGGCTGATACAGATTTTGATAAAACACAATAGCCAAGAAAGATCAATATTTAAAATTTACTGCTCCACTGTAGTACTTTCGATACAAATACTTTTTTTTTCCTCTTTATGTTCTGAAATATTAGGTCAGTAAGAAAGGAGGAAAAGCAGTTCATATTCACAGTTTGACACCACATTCTTCGGCCCAAGAGAAGAAAGACACTAAGTTTACTGATATTTGGATAAGCATCACCCTGTCAGCATCATCAGTTTTTCTTGAACTTGGACCTGCTCCTTTGAACACGCATGCTCTTTTATACATGCTTGTATACACACACTCTCTCTCTTCAACCTGTGGCATGCTGCTTCTCCCCTATGTAAACAAATTCTCTGTTCAACTGGATACTTTAAAACTTTTTTGTTGACATCAAAGACAATATCAAAATTATTTCAAATTAATGGCCATGTGAGTATCTTACTATTAAAAAAAATAAAGCAAAGCTATTTATTATTTACTCATTTCTAGACAGGATGCGTCTAAGAGTATAATACACTTCAATAAAATAGTTACCTGGCTTGACAATAGATACTTGCTAAAGAGAAAATTATTACAAATATTGAAAATAGGAAAAAATTTTGAAAGTTTTGTAGACTGCATGTTAAAATTATAACTGCCTAGGAACTATGCTTTTCTTTTATATTGCTACTAAAATAGTTGCATTTTAGATTACAATATCATTTGTATATAAAGATAATATTCTTTCTACATTTTAGGTAACAGTACAATATTCATAAAGCTATAAGCTTATAAAGTTAATTGCCAATAAAATGGAAACTCATATACACATTTCTGACATTTGAGAACTGTAGCTATTATATTTTGGAATGTCAAATATGGGTAATGTGTCCAAGTTTTTGGAAAGTAAGAATGAAATAATAAAAGAGAAAAAATGGAACAGGACAATGTTGTCCCTCTAGAGGGTAAAGTATTTTCAAATTAATGGTTTAGTAAATTTGTTCACTGGAATAAAAAGAAATCATCACCATTATGACTGATGCGTTAGATTTTATGAGTGAATCTGTGGATCTTGTTGCTCTGCTATTTTTTTCTTTTTTTTCGCCTTCAATTCAAATCCACCTCTATTTCTGATAACTACACAGAGATATAATTTTAGAGAGTAAAAAAAATTTACTGAAAGATAAAATTTGTAAACTTATCTTAATGTAAAAATGTAAGCACTATCTATTTTGAGATTTATCTTGTTGCAATGCTAGACTTAAGAGTAAGTTTTACAAGTACGCAATGCATGTATGTCACAGTCAGGAAAAGGATTTTAATGATCAGGTGTCCCTCACTCTGACAGGGTGGCTGGAACAGAGTTGTTATAAAACCAAGATCGTAACTTTGCTAAAAATTACTCCCTTTCAGTGAGCCCTGTGTCACACATTTGAGACGGACTATGGACACATGCGGTAGAGAGTTTTGGGCAGATGGAAAGCCCCCAAAATTCTTAATGGGCAAGGAGGTGGAAACTTTGAGGTACTAATTTCTCGAATGTGCTGCTATTGTAGAGCTCTTCAAGTCTCAGTGACATCAAGGAGCCAACAAGTTACCTGTTGGTTGGTGATGTTTTATTGCTACTTTTATGTGCTCATCTAATAAGTATCAATTTGAGTCTATCAGAAAAGTTTACAGGTATCTGAAAAATTACATTACTTCTTCACTTGTTGGAACTTTAGGCGTTAACAGAGAGTATTTGAAAGATCCAAAAATGTCCTATTTGTATTAGGACTTGTGATTTTTAGGTGTTTTGAAAAAAATTTTTTATATATAAATAGATATTTACTAAATCGAAATTAAATTTCTGATATCTAAATGAACAAAAGGAAGAGAAATAAGCTAAAACTGGCAGCATATACTTATCATTATAGTGTATAACACACTGCTTTTAGCTGGTAAGGTGAGGCAGTGTTTAAAAACATATCTGTACTCTTGATGATGCTTAGTTAGCCACTCATCATCTGACTTTTGCCATGTCTAAATTCTGATCTTTGGCAAAAACAGACCAGAAATGAAGAGATGCCATGAACACTCCTACACTGACCTCTCTACCCTGCTTTGCTTCATTACCTTTAATGGCTGTCCAAGAAGAATGTTTACATTGTTATTAGCAGTCAATCCTGCAGTTGCTAACGAAAGGCCATATATTTGTATGAAACTTCGCAATTAAACTTCCATTTAATTGGAGATAGAATCTGGGTATTTGTTATCCTACTAAGTGAAACATCCAGGTATAAAAAATGAGCAATTCTAAAGTATACATTTAGTACATTTGTCTTCTCCAGTCCAGTTAGTCTTCAAAAAATCTGTGTAGTTAAATGAAATTCACTGTCTTTTTCCAAAGGGCATTACCAAAGGGTATTACAATGTACCTTTGCTTAAATATGATGACGACTGCAGGCTGCTCTTATGGATGCTTTTGTCTCAATGTGAAAAGTCTGCATTCTTAATGTTTACCACAAACCCATCGAAGCTGATGATCTGTCTGCAGGGGAGTCAGTTCTTCAACGGTTCTCCAGCTGCACTGGCAGGCATATGCCCGTGCTCCTTTCTTCTTTACCAACTTTGTTTTTAATTTCTGGAAATCTGGCATGTTGTTCCTATTGGTAAAACAGGAAAGTTTCAGCATGGTAGCTTTGTTCAATGCTTAATGATGCAAAGGAAAGTTCTAATTGCTTTAGCTTCCTATTTTTTCAAACTGACATTCTCTGAATACTAAATGACTCTATTTCTTTCACACTAATGATAGAAGATATGCTTCAGTGTCCTCTTTCTGATGGCATCTTTGCTATCAGTTTTTTTTTTTTTTTTTTTTTGTGGTACTGGGGCATGAACTCAGGGCCTACACCTTAAGCCACTCCACCAGCCCTATTCTTTGAAGGGGTTTTTCGAGATAGGTCTTGTGAACTATTTGGCCAGGGTGGCTTTGAAACATAATCCTCCTGATCTCTGCCTTCTGAGTAGCTAGGATTACAGGTGTGAGCCACCAACACCCAGCAGGTTTTTTGTTTGTTTGTTGTTGTTTTGTTTTTTTGAGACAGGGTACCATGATGTAGCCCAGGCTGGCGTCGAGTTTGCTATGTAGCCCAGGCTGTTCTTAAACTTGCAATCTTCCTGCTTCAGTTTCCTAAGTGCTGGGGTTATAAGCATGCACCATCACATCTGGTGATATTTAGTACTTTTTAATGATGATCCTCTTGGCCTGTCTATTAAGACTATAGTAGAACACAATGATCCCAGAAAGCCCCCAGAATCTCTCAGTGGGCAAGGAGGTAGAAACTTTTGAGGTACTAATTTCTCAAATGTGCTGCTATTGTAGAGCTCCTCAAGTCTCAGTGATGTCAAGAAGCCAACAAGTTACCTGAAGAATCACTGATTTGACTTATCAGAGATGAAATGAATGAGAAAAGAGTGGAAAGTGCGGTGGTTTACGTCCTACCTCAGATACTCACCTATGCCATAAAAGCCAACAATACATGACAAGTAGAGGGAGCAAAAGAAGGAGAAAGGCAATAGGCTTCCATAGCAACAGCTACAGAAAATTTTCATTAACAGAGAAAAAGTGCCTGTTATTTCTATATGTTGAACTCAGACTGTATCTTTCATTTATTTAAGTGATTTGCTTATTTACTTATACTATTGGCATCGAAGCTAAATGTCTATCCTGAAATAAATTTTAATAATGTTAAAATAATTAAATCAGCAAGCAAGACAATCATAAACATGCTAATCATTAGATTTGAGGCTATAATAAAAAATATAGAAGGTAAGTTTAATTAATTAAGAAAATCAACTACAGTTTTTACAATTCATGTACTGACTTTATGTGAATATTCCATGACAAATAAAAATGGTCAAATTTAAAATGAAATGAAAAAAACAACAACAAAGTAAAATGACAAACACAGTGTGCTAAGAGAGAGACTGCTCTCTATTGCTTGTGGCTATCTCTGCAGTAGAAGTTAGGCTAAAAAGCGCCCTCTGGTGGTCAATGGGCATCACATTCAGTACTGCACTACAAAACCCAAGCACAATTTAGGAGCTTAGAACCTAGCAAAATTTGAGAATTTTTCCAAACGGACCAAACCCACCACATCCTCTGCCCTGGAGGAAAGGTGGTAAGATACTGATGTGTTTGGGGGAGAATTCGATAGGAAATTGAAGGCTTTTCACATCTGCTGGCCTGGTTTGGAGAATGAGGATGTGATCTATTGAGTGTGAGGTACAGCAGGGAGTAGTGAAACATGGTAAGGATGATGAGTGGGCAGTAGGTTAAAAGGTTTGCAGAGTGCCACTGAGGGTCCGATAGAACATAGTGAGCTCTCTGTTTTTAGTGGTGTCACTCTGCATATTTTTTACAGGATGAAAATGCTATGCCATTGTTTTATTGTCCTTATTTTACAGATAAGTGTATCCTTTGACAAATTACAGAACTTTTGAAAAGAAACATAAGCTATACTTTTTGTCTACCCTGCCACAATCACCAAATAAAATATTTTTTTAAAATTAAAATGTGTTTTTTTTTTTCAAAGAAAATAATGGGATTTCTTTTCTAAACCTTTAAGATATATGCCTCTTTGAAAAACACTTAAAGTCAGCATGGTGACACACACCTGAGAGCCAGGTATGGTGGCACACATCTGTAATTACAGCTATCTGAGACAGAACAAGGAGGACTGAGGTTTGAAGCCAGCCCAGACAAAGGACTGGGGATATGGCTCAAGTGGTAGCGGGCAAGGCCCTGAGTTCAAACCCCAGTATTATGAAAAAAAAAGAAAAAAGAAACATACCTGAAAAACAGATAATTACATGATTTGTCCCACATATAGTCGTTGTAACTTACTATCCAGAAGTCACAAGCTGTACAACGTAGACGGTCACATGCTCTGATCAGAGAAAAAGAAATGTACTTAAAGATTGTTGTATTTAAATATGAAAATATGATAATTTGTTCATAGGATATATCACATATTATAGCAATATTAAGCAATACTAAGCAATATTATATATTGCTTACTGAATAAGCAACAAAAATTCAGATTAATGTAAGTGTTTATACTAAAGACTGTTTACATATTTAAACTTTCAGGTTAAATTTTTGCATACATCTATTTTACTAAGGTCTTGCACACTGATACATACACACATATAGAAATAAAATAATGTAGATCTGTAGACCTTTTTATTCCATGGTTTTCAAATGGTATCTGATGGAACTCTTCATTTAAGCTCTCTTCAAGTGCTTCCCTTCCTACAGAAATTTCCAGGGATTCCTGGAATATCAGAGAATGTGTGATATACACTGAAGTGAAGTTTCTGTCTCTCCCAGAAACTACTTCAGTGCTGGGACTTTTCCCACTACTTGGCATCAATGCATTCATTTGCTCACTTAAAAATTTTTTACTGAAAACCTACAATGTGCTAGTAAGATCCTGTCTTCATGAAGCCTAGATTCCAGTGAGAGATGAAATAAACAGTACTCATAATAACTAAATTAAATAATGAAACAAGTAAAGAAAATTAGGAGTACTGGGGGAGGAGGGTTGCAATTATAAATAGGGTAGTATGGATAGGCCTCACAGAGGTGTCTGAGTAGTTTCTTTATAAACTACTAAGGGTTAGGAGGTTATGTTTAAGAGAAGAAAAATAGCATGCTTGTATACTGATGGGAAAAATGCAATGAATAACAAAATTCTGATTATGTTGGTGAGGGAGGGTTAGAACTGCTAGAATGATACTTAGCACATAATAGATACAAATGAATAGCTGAGAAATGAAAGTGACAAGCAGTTCTAGAGTTACAATGTGGTATATGTATTAAGTGTATTGCACATAGTAACTATAGGAATAAGATAACATAGCAAGTTCAAAAAGAATTATGAATTGCTGGTGAACAAACAACTTGATTTTCATAATAATTCTCATTTACTTTAAAAAAGAAATCTCCTTCATTGTTTGAAGGTTTTAATAATCAGAATCAACAACAGACTCATTTGATCATCTAAAAACTAAAAAGTTCTTTTTTTTTTTTTTTTTGGCAGGCATTCATACTTACTAGGCAGGCACTCTACTACTTGAGTCACCCCTTTTCCCCCCAGCCCTTTTTTGCTTTAGTTATTTTTTTTTAGGTAGGGTCATATTTTGCCTGGGGCTGGCCTCAGATGCAATCCTCTTAACTACACCTCCTGCATAGATTGGACTGTTAAGTATGCACACCATAGCTGGCTTGTTGATTGAGATGGAGTCTCACTAACTTTTTGCCTGGGCTGCCTTGGACCTCCTAAGAAAATGAGATTATAGGTGTGAACTACTGTCTGGCCTAAAAGATGCATTTTTAAGACACACACACACACACACACACACACACACACACACACACACAAAGAGAAAAGATCGTAATAAAGTAGAAAACTTTCAACATATGGTTAAATACTTATCCTATACCTGAAGTGTTTACAAATGGTAACAAAGGAAAAAAAAAAAACCAAAGCAAAATAATAATCAGTATCCCTAGTTAGACCCTGATGCAGAGTGTTATATTTGAATGCATATCCTGCTTTTTACTAGCTGTGTAATTCTAGTCAAGTAACTTAACTTCTTTATGACTCAGTTTTTCTTTATATATTTTTCAATTATGGTCTTACTTTTTTCAATACTATGTTATGCTATTTGCTTTTCAATATTGCTAATACTTCTGTAGCAACAACAACAAAACCCAAAGACAAACCAAAACTCATTAGATTTTTTTCTCTTATTCAACTATGTTAACTTCAAGATCACAAACGCTTTTTGGGTTGAAAATTTCTTTGAGAATGAATGTTTTATATTTCTAAAAATATTATGAATCATATCAGAAACTAAGCATTAAAGAACCTACACAAATTTCATAAGCAACTCCATGTTTTGTTTTGAAGTGTTAGCAATTTATGAAGTTGTACTTGGTATATATGGCAATTCAGCATGATTATATTTGTACACATTTGAATTCAGATTTTAAATGTACAAGTCAGGAAATGCAAAACGATGCCCAAAGCTACCATAACTTGCTTTCTTATGCATATGTAGTTTGTTAAATGATTGCATAGAGTGTTAACTTTAATGCCTTAATACATATGTGCAATTTGGTTGAATTATTGCTGTTGTGGGAACTATAATTTAGAATTTCCTAACATTTTGTATGTGTAAAATCTCAACCATAATGTTAAAAAGAGCTTTTTAATTTAATTTAAAATTTAGTAGTTTATTTAAATCTTTTCACACTACCATATTTTCTTACAAACACTGTCCTATGAGAAAAATAAAGCTAAGTTGCAGGTAAGAAATCATTCCACTTCCACGATTCACTCTATTAGATTATAATTAGTACCAGCCTATGGAATAATACAGTCTAGCTAGTAGTTTAAAAAATATAGTAAGAGTAAAATTTGATTGGCTTGAAAATAGTACCTTGGTTTTATCCATAACACTTATTAATGTCATTATACTTCCAATTATTATGTTCTTTCTCCTTTCCACCAACTGGGGCAAAAAACTAAATCTTTTTATCCCCAAACCAGAATTTTATCCAGAAATCAAACAAATAAAACAAATAAGCAGAACAGTCAATTTTTTCATGCCATGGGCATATAAACTGTGCTATTTTAAGGGCTTAAATTATTCCATTCTCCAATGTGATGAGATTATGTTCTCATTGCCCTGGTGAGCTAAAAATGCATTTAACACATCTAACCTATCAAACATCATAGCTTGGCACAAAGTACAGTGTAGAGTATTGGTTTCTTACTCTTGTGATTGAGTGGCTGGCTGGCTGGTTCACTATCACTGCTCAGCATTGAAAAAGGGTATCATACCACATATGGCTAACCCAGGAAAAGATCAAAATTAAAAAATTTAAGGACAGTTAATACTGAGTGCATAACACTTCTGCACCATCCATAATGTTGAAAAATTCTAAGTCAAACCATTGTAAACTGAGGACCCTCTGTATATGAAAACATATCTAATATAAAGTCACAACTCTAATGAAAGATGATTTATAAAGTTTTCCTCCAAAATGTGGAGGGAGTATACAAATGAAGGTGTTACCAATGGCTTGGTCCATTTGTCCAGCTAATAAGTAGAATTGAGTACATCATAGATGTTTATAGTGGGAATGTCAAAATACAACTACATATAGTTTTCTGCCCAGGCTCTAGTTCTAGTGAAATCCAAACGAACTGTACAGTGGAACTAAGGAGTCTTGATGCTTAAGTGGTTTAAAAATAACAGCAGCTTGCAACAGCAAAAGCAGGTAAGGTAAGATTCTTCCCCCTTACATACATTACATGCTGCAAACTCATACACTAGAAAGCATAATGGATTAGGAACCAAATTACCAATTAGAGATCTTGCTTTGAAATAATGGCTGTGACCCTGGGCAAGGCATATTACACTTGGGAGTCATTCTTAACAACATATTTTCTTACCTATCATTGCCATTTAATCACTGAATTTTGTGAATTCTGTATTCTAACTATCTCATATTTGACACCATTTCCTTACAGTCACAGACACTACTCAGGTCACAGCTACCATTCTCTTTCCTGGACCACTCTACCACATGATGACTAGTTTCCCTATGTATACCCTCTTGCCTTACCCTCCGAATGCCAAGTCACTTTCCATCCAGAAACCCAAATGACTTTTTTAGAAACACAAATATGATTATGTCACCCTTATCTGTTAGGACCCAATCCAATGGCTGCCATTACATATAAAGCATACTTTTTCTAAATTCCTCCAAAGAGTATAGGACTCCAAATCACTCTCTTCAGCCCCATCAAGAGCCATTCTTTCCCCTACTTACAACACTCTAGCCCACCAGTGGCTCTGTGTCCTCTAACACCTCTACCCTTTTCCATTTCAGGAATTTTTGTATCACTTTTGTCCTCTGGTTTCAATGGTCCCCTCTTTTTGCTTAACTCTATTCATTTTCATTTTATGGTTTAATGAAATGTTATCTGCTTTAGGGAAATACTTCCTGACTCTTCCTGTTAGTTTAGGTGTCCATTATCCATGTGTATATCATTCTGTACTTTCCTTTTACTTCACATATTAAATGGAAATTAAGTACTTATTTATGGAATTATCCATTTAAAGTCTATCTGACTGAAAGTTCATTGAGAATGGGGAAATATCCACTTGTTCACCCTAATTTATTCACTTAATCCTTAGGATCCAGCAGGTGGTTAATATGTTTTTGACAAAGGAGAGGATGACAAATATTCTAGAGCAAATGGAGAGTTTCTGATCCAGGCTCTAACTGCAGGTGATGGAAATAAAGAGAAAAGAGGAAGAACAGGATAATAATTTAGTAAAGTCAACAGTGTGTCTATAGTTCATGTGAGACAAATGACAACTCTCATTTGTCTTCTGAACAGGAAGGAGGTGCTCAAGGTAATACTTTGTCACTGTTACCTTTTTGCTTTTTGAGACAGGGTCTCACTATGTTGGCAAAGGTGGCCAGGAACTCATTACACAGTCCAGGCTGGCCTCAAACTTGCTTCAGGTGTACTGGGACTAAAGGTGTGAACCACCAGGCTATTTCTGTTATCTTGAATGTTATATGTGCATGGGGTTAGAGAAGTTGGAAGTGGATGATAACTGGGAAATTGCTGCTATAGTTCCTAGGTGGCTTGACAGAGGCCTGGATTAGAGGTGCTTGGCTCTGAAAAATGACAGTATAACTGGGTTGACCCAGGAAATTCATGATTGACAGGAATAAGACTACATTCTCCTCTAAGGCCAGTTTGTATCTTGAATTTTGTTTTTAGACAGTCCTTAATACATGGTGATTCAACTGCTTTCAATTCTTCTTTTTTGAGATTGGGGCTTGCTATGTAGCCCAGGCTGGCTTTGAACTCACCAATCTTCCTGCCTGAGTCTCCCAAGTACTGGGATTACAGACATGTGCCACCATATCTGACCCTCAATTCTTAGCACTTATAGCAGGCAATACCCAGTGTATTTAGCCTGTTTGTTGCCTAGAGTACTGTACAAAGCTTCCCGGACTCCTGATTTCACTGCGGTCTGATGATTTTTCCTTTCAGGCTTCCTAGGATCTAAGATCTAAGCAAGCACTACCACAACCCCCCAACAATGTCTTTTTAGATCCCACTTCTATTTTTTTTTTTCTCTCCAGTATTAGGGATTGAACCCAAGGCGTCTACAGAGCATTTTACCACCTGAGTCACACTCATAGCCCTTTTGTTTATATTTTGTCTTTGAGATATTATCTTGCGAACTTTGCCTGGGCTGGCCTCAAACTTGTGATCCTTCTGTCTGTTTCCCAAGTAGCTGAGATATAAGCATACACCACCACTCCCAATACCCATTTCTATTATGCAGCACAACAGCTCTCCAGGAATGTAGTCAGCACACAGTCACTTAACTCAGTCTTTTCCTTAAAAATTAACAAAACTAGAAAGCATTTTTTTTTTTTTACAACACTGGGATTAACTCAGGGCCTAATCCTTGCCAGATGTTTTGTGTTGGATATTTTCAAGATAGGGTCTCATGAACTATTTGCCCCAGTTGGTCTCAAACTGTGATCCTCCTGATCTCTGCCTCCTGAGTAGCTGGGATTACAGGTATGAGTCATTGGTACCTGGCACACTGTATTTTTATTTATTTATTATTTGGTACTGCTGGGGCTTGAACTCAGGGTCTTGAACTTGTTAGGCAAGTGCTCTACCACTTGAACCATGCTTCCTGCCTCTTTTGCTTTAGTTACTTTCGGAAAAGGGTCTTGAATTTTTGCATTTAGCCTCAAACTGCAATCCACTCAATCTCTGTCTCCTGAGTAGCTAGGATTACAGGTATGTACCACCATACTCAGCTCTAGAAAATGTTTTAGATAAAAGTAAAATAATCTAGATAGTAGGCCTCTGTCAGAAATAGAAAAGTAGCAGAAGAGTAGAAAGATTTGTTTAAAATCAGTCCTCCCCCTATATTGTGAAAATGGTAATGGAATGTGCTAAGAGCTAATACAGGCTTGGAGTAAGAATGTGTGAAAAGAGGTACTAAGTAAGAAAGCAGATTTAGAAAAGGGCAGGAAAAGACAAGAAACAGTGGATTTCTAATTTACAAAAATGAGAATTTTCTGGGTAATACAGACCTGTAGTAGCTTCTCATGCTAAGTGTTTAGCGAAGTCAGTGAGACTAAGGCGTCATGTGTGCTGCACAGCTGCACTGCTTTGCTTATCTGCTGCTTTTCACTGCGTGGAAGGAAGCTCACTCTTTTAGTGCCCTATGAAAACCAAGCTAGGACTGCAGTGATCTAGGGACTTCAAGTAGGCTCAGGAAAAGCATCAACACAATGAACAATACATATCACAGCTTTCAATAGCTACTTCCCAAGAGTAAGAAACATTTCAACAAAGTGTTCTTGGATTGGCTAATGAAATATACCTCTCATTATAAAAGATTGATGGCAAGACAATAAGAACTACATTTTAACAAAGGGGCATCAATTTGTAAAAACTTAATAAGGAAGCATAATATATTTCTGACATCCTACCTCTGTGAAGTATTTGTTCCAATCCCACATGGAACAGTGCTTCCACTGAGGTATACTGGACTGCAACTAGACATGTTCAGCAGATGGGGAAAAATGAAATTATAACAAAAAAGAAATATGAGAAGTTAATTTGGCCTCACTGCCTATGTTCCTATAATCAAATTGTATATTTTCTCTAGCAAGCCAACTATTTCAAAGAAAAGATATTTATTACAGGATCACTACTATACTAGATATAACCTATATATTCAGAAACACTCAAAGAGTTAAAATGAGTCACAGAAAAATGTGTTTGCCAAATAATGTAAGGAACAAAGTAAATTCTAAGGAATATAACAGCACATTAATTTTGAGAAACTGTTCACACATTTTTTTAACATGGCAGAAAATTATTTACAATAGCAATAGTCTTCCATTTAATTTCCTTTACACTAAGGGGTCTTAGACCATAAGAACACCAAGATATTGCTATTGTTATTTCTCCTGAAGGCCAACCAATGCTTTGTTCTTCAATGTCACCACTGTTTAAATGGTAACAAAATCTGCTAGACTATGCTTATAGTGTTTGCTCACTAGAGTGTATAACTCACCAAAGCAATCTCAGCTTACCTCTTACTGAGGCCTTGAATTGAAGTGCTGACAGATGTGTTACTTGAAGATTTAGATTTTAATTTCTGTTAAAAAAAAAAACCAAAACAATAAAAGGCCAAGGGCAACTTAGAGAAATGCAACATGAAAAGTAATATTCTTTGTTTTGTAATAAGAATATTTGTTAAATGACTGAGATACAAGTTTTGGTGGCATCGTTTTTTAAGTATCTGAAGTGAAAACAATGATCAAAACTTTTTAAGGCAAAAGGGAAGTAGAATTCCCTGACGAATTTGCAAATTACTGTGCTTTTAGTGTAGGAAATTGATATACTGCCATTATTAGCATGCTAAGATTTAGAGTCACTTTATAACTCTTCAGGTAATACCAGATTTCAATGATTTAATATGAAGGGCCTGCTATTTAAGAATTCATTCTGGAAAAATTCAATTGAGGAGGAAAAAAACCGCAGACTCATTTTTAAAGGCTGTGAATGGTACTCATCTGAACAAAAAATAAACTAACCAAAGTCCTGTGTAACTTCAGGAATATTAATTTTGACAAAATGGAGTAGTATCAACCAATAGATGTTCAAAGAAAATGTAGAGCTACCTAGTCACAACCATACAGTAGTTCCTATATGGTTACATAACATGACTGTCATTAGCAAGCATTTATTAAGTGTTAGCTCGTATATGGTACCAAACAACATAAACCGACCACATACTAGGACCACCGCCAAGGAGAGGAAGTGAGGTGGAGAAAAAGCAATTTAAACTATGCAGAGATGTGCTTTCATTTTACCTACTGGGTGAGGAAGTTTAGTGAAGGCAAAAATATTTCAATTTACTATTTCTCTTAACTCTTTTATTTGATGTTAAACAGGAATGCCTTTTGCTGCATGTCTGAAAAATAGTAACGTGCATGAGTCTTTTCGTCTTGGGGACTATGTTTCATGCACCATCTAGGCTCAAGACTGTGACTCTATGTTTGCACACTGTGTTGTTTTTGGTTCCTAGACTTTCTGGTGTGGGTCTGAGAGTTCAGAAATGCAACAAATGAGAGAACAGAGGCTGGGGTGGGGAGCAGTACTTTCAGGGCATAAGATGCCTCTTAGGACAATGTGGGCAGGACACTTCTTTTCCTCATCCATTAAGTGTTTTACATAGACTTGCTGTCTCCCTTGAAGGCTGGAAAACTAGATAAAATAACTAACAAAGGGAAACACATAGAAATGCATAAAAGTTTGGTTTCACGATGATTGTAAGATCTACTTTTATTTCAAATTATAATATTTTAAGACCAAACCAGAGAAGTATTTACCTTCTTTTGAAACATCTTGAACTGAAGTTAATGTCTCATATACAGATAAAAATAATGGATTGCTTTGATGATTAAAGAGTACAAAACCATATCATTTTCTTTAACTATTAAGTAGCATTAATATTTGACACATGATATTTGCAGAGTATTTAATATTACTATTTCATTGACATTAATCTGCTAGGCATAGCTTAATTTATCTCTGATGAATTTAAAATGTTAAGTTTAGAAAAATTCATATCTTAAAAGCTATGCTGATCACTTGAATTTTGATCTGGATGACCAAAATACAAGCAGCCCACATTCATAACCTAGTGATTTTCAGTTCACTGTCTTGTTTTAATCTTTCTTATCTTTGAAAAATAAAAAACTCTGGTATTGTATTTATTTTTTTGGATTTTTTTTCTTTGTGGCCTTTGTAAATATATTTTACAAATATCTTTGGACATATAGTTGGTGTTTTTCTTTTAAATATACCAAATATGCTACATAGACACCATATGGATAAATACTAAAGCATATGAAGTCTTGCACATTGTTGGCAAGAAAATTATGAATGATATAGTCACTTTGGAAATCAACTTGGCAATGGGTAGAAAAGGTGAAGATGAGTGCACCTTATGACCTAGGAATTCCTCTTCTAGGTTTATACATCCTAGAGAAACTATTGTACATGGGTAAAGAAGACATGTAAAGATGGGGCAAGAAGTGGCTCAAGTGGTAGAGCACCTGCCTAGCAAACATGAGGCTGAGTTCAAACCCCAGTACTGCCAAAAATAAATAAATGAACTTAAAGAAAAAGACGTGAAAAGATATCTAATGAAGACTATGTGTAATATTAAACAACTTGGTATAATCTAAATGTCCATAGCCAGTGAAGTGGATAAATAAACTGGTTGAGTTATACTCTGAACTATTTGTGGTATATATATAGATATATATCTATATATATATCTATATAGATATATATCTATCTTATTAAAGTATCAAAGTATGGATGGAAGGATAGTGGATACCTCTGGAAGGAAGGCAATAGAGTAGGATTTGGAGAGATCTTAAACTGTATCTCTAATTTTTATTTATTTAAAATCAAAGTCTAGCTGAGTTCCCAGTCCAACCTGGGCCAGCCTGAGCTATATATAGAGAAAAAAGTGCAGAGAAATAATTACAGCAAAGAATTAAGATATATTTGTTATGCATGGCTACAACAATTTGTTCAGTATATAGCTAAATATTATTTTATTTTGTGAACTTTTCATAAGGTTAAGTTAGATACATAAACATTTAAAAAATTAAGATATTGATATTTTAGTCATTGGTTGTTGGAATAATAGCAATGGCACTGAAGCTGAGATGCTAAGCATGTACCTATAGTGAAAGTTGTTTCTTCTGGCCCTTTTAGAAAGGTGTTTTTAGACTATAAATAAATACAAGGAACCAACCTGACCTGTGAGTTGGCTTTTACACTAACAGCTTTTCTAGTTTCTCATTCTTGCTGAGAAATGAACAGGGAAAAACATTGCCAGAACTTCTAATATTTTATTTCCTCTATAAGTCTTTAAGAACAATTTTTTAAAAATAATTGTACTTCTCAGAATTCAAAGAACTATAGAGAGCTACTCTGCCTTCTTTAAGATAATTCTAATAGTCTTGAAACAGTAAAAGAAATTACTGCAAATTTATAGCACTTAACTTACAAAGGACTTTTTGTCTAAGTTGGGCTCTTCAAATATTTCATTAATAAGACTGTCAAGATCCTCTTCTTTTTTAAATGTTGTTGATCTGAAAAGAAAAAACATACACACACACAAATCCCTCACCAGCGGAAGTTTAAGAACAGATAAAAAGTCTGTATTGGAAGAGTTTTGTTTAAAGTCCGCTATTGGAGTAGATAACATTAAGATAAATGTATTAACAATTTTTCTTGCTATGGACTTAGCCTAAGTTTGTTGGGACAAAGATATAGTTTATTAATGCAAATTCACATATGTACTTTACTATTGCATACTTAAAAAAGACAAACCTACACATATTCAAGAGAAAATAGGAATGTAGTTTTCTAAATTACATCAAGTACTTTATTTAGAGAATACAAAGTATGTAGAATTGTAAGTTGCACCTAATATTATAAACAAAGGGTTCCACTGGAAGTAAAACAGCCATATCTGTTTACTAAAGGAGTCAAAGGTCATGTCATCAAATGATCAAAAAAAAAAAAAAGAAAAGAAAATGAAAAAGAAAAACACACAAAACAAACAAAAAACCTCTGGTATAAGTTAGAACACCGAAACTATTCCTTTATCTTCTACAGGCAAAGTCATCATTAGATTATTAATACAAACAGTTCCTGCATAGAATTTTTATTTAAAAATGAACATTTACTAAGTATTTGCTAAAGGCCAGGCTGACACTGTCCTAAGATTTTATGTGAGGGTATCTCTACTACCCCAATTTTTAGGTGAAAAGGAATGGAAAGACTTAGAAGCTTGTCTAAGGTCATACACATCGTGGGAGGAAAGGTTTGGAATTGAATCTACAGGAGTCCATACATATATCATGCTGAGATTAACTCAGAGTTCGTACATGTTGTAGATGCTGTATGTCAACTTCACAGGATATTTAAATGATTTTAGAGGGTTTTTTCTTTTTTAAAACTCTCTCCCTTTAGAAAAGTATTTACCCTGAAATCTCCTAAACACCAGGATTTTTAACCCTTCTTTGTTCTTGCCTGGGTAAGAGAATTTAACCTGATGTAAGAAAATTCAGAGTGCTGCAAGATGCTTAGTGGTTGATCCCAGGCTTTGCTTCTTCAGTTGTTCCCTAACTTTATCCTTAATGTCTTTTACTCTATTTCTTATGATCATAAGACGTATGGTCAAGATTTCCTCTTTATGTAAATAAACAAAAAACTAAAAAAACCTAAATCACTATAAAAACTGCCTTTTGAGCTGCCGCCCTTTCTTACTCACTACTAAAGGAGTAGTCTGCATTCCTTATTCTACTTCCTTTTAAGTAGGTTAGATTTAGCATCAGTTGGCTATCTAGATGAGGGTTTTTCAACCTTAGAACTACTGACATTTTGGGTCAGGTTACTCTTTGATGTGTATGTGTATATGTGTGTGTGAGTGTATGTGTGGGGGGTAATGTGTGTATGTGGGTATCTGTGTGAGTGTATGTGTGGGAGTATATGCGTGTGACGTTTTTACAGAATCCCTGGCCTCCACCCACTAGATGCCAGTTGTACATCTTTCTCTAACTGTGATAGCCAAATGCCCCTTGAGTGGCAAAATCACTGGTCCAGAACTACTGACCCAGTATAAATTATTTAATTTCTTTGAGTCTCATCTTATTTATAAAAATGGTATCTAGGCAACTATTTAAAAGTGCTTTCAGGTATAATTGTATATCTCTGGCTTCTGTATCCCTCAACTATAGTGAAACTCTTCTTTCAAAGGTCATTATAGCTCAAATCACTCACTGTATTCAGTGGTCTTTCTCAGTTCCAACCTTTAATCTTTTAGAAGCATCTGACAGTGTTGGGTATCATTTTCTTAAATTTCTTTTATTATAGCAGGTTTCAAAAATGTCCTCATGAAACTCTCTCCTTTGGTTTTGATGACATACTGTCTAGGTTTTCCTTTCTCATGCAATGCCACCATTTCAAGAGGCAGATGGATTAAAACTCTACCAACCTAATCAGTACTGTTAGAGATCTAAATTGTCAGCTAGATTCTAGCCTGTTATTAAAAATACAATTTCATGATGCCTACACTTGCCTATGCTTTACTATGATAGCAATAATAATAATAAAAGAATGCCAAAATTTCATTAAAAGCTTATTTTAAAGGACAATATAATACTGTTTTTGGTCTTTAATAATCTTAATTAAATGTTAATAGTTTTTATTGGTTCTCCTGAGTCTTACAGTCTAATCCTGAGTTAAGACACAGTTTCTGCTGAAAAGGTACATTCAGAATAAAAGAAGCTTGCTGGATGTTGATAGCTCATGTCTGTAATCCTAGCTACTTGGAAGGCTGAGATTGGGAGGATGGTGGTTCAAAGCCAGACTAGGCAAACAGTTTGCAAGACCTCATCTCCAAAAAATAACCAAAGCAGAATGGACTGGGGGTGTGGCTCAAGTGGTAGAGTACCTGCTTTGCTCAAATGCCAGTCCTACCACAAAAAAAAAAAAAAGAAAGAAAGAAAGAAAGAAACTGAAATACTTGCAACCTACAATTAAGTATAAGAGGATATATATTAAGCTTAAATTTACATATACTATGTTCTGGTAGACCTGGCAATATGAACTTGGGCAAGTAACTAGTTTTTAAGCCTTGATTTGGTAAAATGAAGATAGTAGTATTTACCTCATGGGATTGTGGACATTAAATAACATACATAAAGCACTTAGTATACAGAAAAAACTCAATAAATGTTAGCTATTACTATTGCAGCTATTATTTAGGAGGTTATATTATCTTTAAATATTCCCATCTGTATTATCCTGAACCACTTTATTACTACTGCACTTTTATCAACCCAGTTTTTTTTTTTTAACAACAAATCACATATGTCTCTATCATTTTGAACACTTCAACAGATTGCTTTTTTTTTTTTTTACTACTTAACATTAACTGCTGTTTCTGGTATTCAGATGTAGCATGGTTACTTACTATATTATTTGCAAAGCTACCATTTTAAGAACCAATTTCAGTATTTTAACTCGTAAAAGATAAAGTTATATACAGTTGATAGGCAGTCTCCTGTTAATAAATGCACAATATAGTTTCCTTGCTTTTAACTATCAATTTTGGCTACAGGCATAATTTTAATAGTATGTTATATAGCAAGTAGGTTAGGGACTTTGTTGCTTTTTGCATAATTTCCAACTACTTGCCAGATAAAAAGTTTAACACAAATGATAAGAGTACTAATAGGCTTTTATGAATGTAGTTCTGAAAATCTGATGTATTAAGGTGGGATGAGGGCATTAGAAGCATTATGGATGGATTTTACGTAGTGCAAAAGCAGGCACTGGTGCTTGGAGAGGACTCACAGAAACATTGGTACTTTCCACCTTGACTTGCTGTGCAGGACATCCTACATCTTTGCATGCTAGCTCTAAATGAAAAGGTTCTGATAAATTCTCTTCATCTTCTCCAGGAACAAATGAAACTACAAAATCACACTCTGTGGAATAGGGACAGAAGATGTAGACATGCTGGCAATGAGTACATAAGGAATTCTGGCATATGAAATAGTAATACACAAGTTAATGAAAGTGATATTTTCATAGATATTCAAATGGGAGTTGTCCTATTCAAAGTAGGCATTTTAGTTGTTTCTTTTTTTTTTTAAATTAATTTTCTGTTTTTGAAGCAATCTTTTCAATATTTTTAATCTTCTGAGAGTGGACTGTGATAAATGTCACTGTAAGTAAGTCTGGTGAATTGGATAGCAATGGAATTGGGAAATCACACACACTCAAATCCCAAAACACAGATGTGGCCATAAAGTTAAGAATGACGTTCTTGGATTGATCCAAAGCTGCCTCTATGTAATTTCACAGCCTTTCCCAAATATTCTAGGAAAGAGGCAATTTCCAAAATTCTAGCAAGAGTTACTGCTGGGCCTCCCAAGTCATCACTTTGAAGGACTGAATAATGCAAACTTTTTTTTTTTTTTTGAGGGTTAGGGGCAACTAAGGAAGTTGAAGGACGGAGTCCTATTATTTAAGGATTACATGGAGGAAAAAGACTGGAAAATTTGAAAGGCAGTTTTAAAAATAACAACATTAGATTTAAGAAACGTCCCCAAATTCCAAAAGGATGCCTGACAACTTAAACTTGGGTCACGGGGAGAAGGAAGGTAGTGGTTAATTAATACAGATAATGTTGACAACAGCTAGCCCTTTTGGCACGAATCTGATCTTATCTAATTCCCTGAGCTTAAAAAAAAAATCAGGCAATGACAGACTAGAAGGAATCATTTTCTCCCTTCTTAACTGGCCCAAGGATGGCCCCGGGTAATGGGGTCGGAGATGACAGAACGGCTGTGTCAGGGCTCCCCGCAAGCTGTGAGCACTGCTCTGGTCTCGGCCAAAATCTATCCTGGACGCAGGGGTCGGGACTGGGCCCCTCGTCCGTGTCCTTGTCCTCGGGGGCGGGAAGGGACCCGCAAGCGCGGGGCGCGGGTCTGGGCCGAGCGAGGCGCGGGGTGCTCGTGCGCACGCGGGGAGCCGAGGGTCTGAGGCCTAACGCGGAGCGGGGCTGCACGGCGTTGCTTTTGGGTGCGGCGGCGCTGGGGGCCTGGGGCAGGGCTTTACTACCACAGTCGACCCCTCCCGCCTGTTAACCTGAGAGTCTCTTTTGCCTCGGCTGGCTTCCGGTCGTCTGTGGGCCGCTCGCCCATGCCTCGCCTCCAGGGGTCGGGTCTGCAAAACTTGTTCTCGACTTCATCCAAGAGCTCATCCAGGTCCTGCGCCATCTTGAATCGTCAGTCTCTCCCTTGCTCCTGTGGCCCGGGCCGCGGGGTGGTTTCCAGGGGCAACGCGCAAACCTCTCTGTCACTCGCGCGCGCCCGCTCGGTGCGCATGCGCGATCCGTGCGCCCGTTTCCGACGCCCGCGAGGCGGGGGCGCTGACGGGCTCGCGCCAGAGGTCGTGGTGGGTCTAGGAGACTGGGACAGCATCCGGCACCCTATGGGCCGGAGGTCGGAGCTGTCAGTTCCAGGGCGGCTTCGCGACTTTACCGCTTTTGTACCTTCCAGTTTATCTCGCGTTTCTCGTCCCTTCCTCTGCTCAGATTCAGTTATCCCAAGTGCGGTGTTTCCTCGCTCCCTTTTCCACTTCTGTGTGTTTTACCCATTCATAAATGCCTTTAGTTACCTGCAGAAGGTCCAGGGAGGACACATCGAATGAAAAACAAAAATTGTGCAGTGAAAATATCACTATTTCGTAGTCGGCAGGATTCGAACCTGCGCGGGGAGACCCCAATGGATTTCTAGTCCATCGCCTTAACCACTCGGCCACGACTACTGTTGATGTTAATTTCAGCACTGAGTTTCTATGTAGACTCTGAGCATAAGGCATCTGTCGTCGTCTGCATCCGCAGTAAAACACCGCTGTGCCGCGCGCTCTGAGCAGAGCGCATTCGAACGCTGTGGCTGTAGACATTTGAGCTGTGAGGGGGCCGCTCAGAGCGTGTCGGTCCAGCCGTCCCATTCCATCAGATGAAAAGAGTTCTAGATCAAGAGGGGAGGGCGGGAGGGAGGAGGGGGGAGAGAGAGAAGAGACAGAGAGAGGAAAGGAAGGAGAAGAAGCAAGAAGAAAAGAAAGAAGGGAGAAAGAAAGAATGAAAAGAAAGAAAGAGACGCTGCTGCGCCTACCAGTTTGCACAGCGATGGAGCCCTGTCTACAGAGAAGTGGGAACCGGCTTGGGGCTTCGCTGCTGGGCTCCATCCAGTCCATCTCTGCGTATCCCCCCCCCATCCCTCCGCCTGCCTAGCTCTTTGACAAACAGCTCTTTTTCTCCCACCTATGACCTACCTGTTTTAATTTGCTATGCATGTAAGACTGTCCCACTGTGCCATAAAACACTATGAAATGCTGTAAAAACACGACGCAAATCCTCAGTAATCATTAATGGTATTCTTACAAATGTTCTCCATGGTCAAACCTGTGCTTTGAGTAGCATTTCTAAGGTGGGATTAGCAAAACCTTTGGGAATACTGGACATTGTTTGATCCAGATGATTTGTTAGTTTCATTTATGTAGTTTCTTCAAACACCTTTGTCCGAAGAACAAATACAATGGTGTGCTGGAGGGAATGGTACCTACTCACCAGAGTCCACCTTTAATTTTCATGAATTCTGGGAGCCAGCTGTTAAAAATGTAATCATTATTAAAAATTAAATTGTGTAAGCTTACAATTAAATTGTATTAAAAACCAAGCTAAAACTCAAAAGTCACCATATTCTAGTTATTTGACTCCACTTTCCTACTATTTATGCTGTTAAGTTTATTCACATCTCTTAGATCTGAAATTCTATACAATGGGTTTCTATTGTGGGTTTCTTCTTGCCTTTTCATTGAGTGATGTCACTTGGGAAGCTTGATATCATCCTATGGTGGGTGTATTTACACAAGGAAAATTGCAAATGCTACCACACTTGGCTTTTTTCCAATAAGAGCCAGTTGTCAAATATTACCAGACTAATTTTGAAGCTTCCCAGGGAGACAAGAGTCCCTGTCCTATGTGGCTGCTCTGCTTATTTTCCCTGAAGCTTTGTTTTAGCTGTTAGAGTCTTGATATATTGTATGATTTCACACTTATTTTTTTTTTTTGTGGTGGGGGACAGGGTGCTACTATGTATTCCAGTTTTGTCTCAAACAAGACTTTTGGGAAAAGTTTTGCTATAATTTCACTGAATAGGTTTTCTATATCTTTAGTCTTGGTTCCCTCTTCTATACCACAGATCCATAGGTTTGGTCTTTTAATCAGATCCCAGAGGTCTTGAATGCTGTGGTGATGATTGCTTATTTTTTCTTTATTGCTACCTGAATGTAATAATTCCTCAACCTTGTCTTCAATCCCTTATAGTCAGTCTTTCTTTTGTCTGGTCTAGTCTACTGGTTATGTTCTCCATTGAGTTTTTTATTTGATTTATTGAGCTTTGCATTTATAAGATTTTCTTTCTTTTTTTGGTTCAGCATCTCTATCCCTTTGCTGAAATTCTAGTCCAAGTTGTTTAATTTCTTTTCCAAGTCTTGAATTGACTTCTTTACTCCATTCATCTATGTATTTATGTCCTCCTTGAGGTCACTGATCATTTAAAAAACTAGACATTTGAATTATTTGTATGGTATTTCAACCACTTCATTACCTTTGGATTTAGTTATTGAAGAATTACAAAGTTTTGGAGGAGTCATGCTTCCTTTCTTTTTCATGTATATTATGTTTCTATGTTTCAGTTTGCATACCTGTTGGGATATCTCTTCCAGTTTTGCTTGGGGTTCTTCCTAGTAAGCTGCCTTTTCTTAAGGATTCAATCCCCAGTACCACTCAGAGAGGAGAAAACAAACCAGGGTTAATGGCAACAACACCAAAACAAGTCAGGTATAGGAGTACAATAAAAATCAGTTAAGGCATCTACCACAGCATCAAGAAGGATTGAAAATTATTTCTTTATAATATAAAATATTATAATAATATTGCATACTATTTTATAAAATTATAAAAATAATCATAGAAATGACTAAAATAATGTAAAATAAAGTTAAAAATTAATAAAGGTTATGGAGAAACAGAGACTGAGTAGTTATGGCTGTATTATTGAACTTGAGCTAGAGTTGACTTCTCCACATAGCACCTGGGAATCAAATCTCTTTCCCTTATCCCTCCTGTTTACAAATCACTTAAAATACCTAAATTAATGGAGCTTTGCTTGAGTGTGAAGTTTGTGATCTTCAGTTACATTTTTTCAGCTTTGTGAGGAACTTTATCACCAAATGCAATGGTTAGCAATGTTACCAATAAGACAGATACTTGTTCCATTAACTCCCATGTATTCACTGAGAATCTCAACACTTTTGTGGTCAAGACGTCTGAAGTAGAGGTGTTCTTCTTGGAGCATGTGAGTTTCTCTGTTCATAAGAGATTTGCCTTTGTCCAGTATATCGATGAGAGAAATGCACAGGCTGCTTTAGCAGAGAAGGATTGCAGAATAATTGCTGTCCTGATTTTAGATCTTAATCTGGCTGCAGAGTCAAAAGGGAACCAAGGAAAAGCAGATGTAAAATGATCTGTGGCAGAGATGCATAGATCAGTACAGACATCTTTCTCTGTCCTCTCTACTCAGTTTTTTGACTTGGAGTATAACTTTCAGATTATTATGACAGTTGCCTGGCACATGTACCACCTTTAGAAAGCTGGAATGCCTTCTAAATGCCAGCATATATATCAGGCAAATGGAGTAGGAATGGACAGTGGGGAAAAAGACAGAAAAGGAACAGAACAGAAAACCAGAGATGAATGAGCCAGAAGAGGAGCAGAGCAACAGCTCTCTGAAAAAAGAGAAACTAAATGAAGATGGAATCTAGGGTGGTGGTACAGATGACTGGGAGGAGACCTGAATAATGACGATAATGCAGATTGGAGGGCTGACCAGCTAGAGTTGATCAAGGATAACGAAAAAGAGCTGAAGAGGAGAGGAGAATGTAAGCACGCAGTGGGATTTAGAAATCTCTTTTTTCTTTTTTCTTTCCTTTCCTTTCTTTCTCTTTTGTTCTTTCATTCTTGTGGTGCTGGGCTTTGAGCCATTGTTTCTTTACCTAGGCACTTGTCTAAGATAAAAATGTCAACAGATCTTCTCCCCCAGTATCTTTTGCAAATGCCCACTGTTCTCCCTCTCCATGCTCATTAATTCATATTACTCTGTGCCTACTTCCATTTTCACTTCCTTTAACACTCCTAGTAAAAATCTTTCTTTGAAATTTTTGCTTTTAATTTCGATACTTCTTTATGACTTAACAATAAAAAGATGTGTTTTTTAAAAAGTCAACTATTTCCAAAACAATGTCTTATTTGCAGGGTGTACAGTTTTGTTCATTTGTACATGATTTCGGTATTTGTTTCCATAACTACAAAGGCAGTCCTATTTAGTTGTAGCACCTGAGAGCAGCTTTGAGTTAGAAGTCTGTATGTTATACCCCACATAAAAGTACTGTGTGGGACTTTGAGCACATGATAAAAGCGAGAGCACATAAGGGAGGGGTGAGGATAGGTAAGACACCTAAAAAACTAGCTAGCATTTGTTGCCCTTAATGCAGAGAAACTAAAGCAGATACCTTAAAGCAACTGAGGCCAATAGGAAAAGGGGACCAGGAACTAGAGAAAAGGATAGATTAAAAAGAATTAACCTAGAAGGTAACACCCACGCACAGGAAATCAATGTGAGTCAATGCCCTGTATAGCTATCCTTATCTCAACCAGCAAAACCCCTTGTTCCTTCCTATTATTGCTTATACTCTCTCTACAACAAAATTAGAGATAAGGGCAAAATAGTTTCTGCTGGGTATTGAGGGGGGGAGCGGGAGGGGGTGGAGTGGGTGGTAAGGGAGGGGGTGGGGGCAGGGGGGAGAAATAAACCAAGCCTTGTATGCACATATGAATAATAAAAGAAAAATGAAAAAAAAAAAAGTACTGTGTGGGGCTGCTCAACACAAATGTAACAGTGTATTTTTGTGAATAAGAGTTGGCGTGTCAGACGCATTCTCTAGAAAAAAATTAACAAAGTTAAAAGTAATAATAAAAAAAGAAAAAGAAAGAAAGAAATCAAAGAGGGGACAGGAAAAGGGAAAAAAGAAGAATTGAGGTGAAATAAAAAGAGCGAGATATATGAGGTTGATCTGGCTGTGATCGCTCACCTCATTGATTGCCAGTGTTCATTGGGTTGATCTGGCTGCCTAGGAGTGTGTCCCCTTCATC